AAAAGCTAACCCATTATAACTTGGAAGTCGTGTCGGCACCTGTAATGTGAAGCGTTAACGTTACTGGCGACGGAAAATTGTGCATTATTTCAGACACGAGTTGTCATTTGCTAGAACCACACATAAGTACTTTGAACTTCCATAAGCTAACGGCAAAACTTCCTCACGTTCATGAAGAATTAAAAGTCAGTCTACCATGATGAGAACTTACAAATACTCCGTCGCATAGTCCATTTTAATATACCAGTTTGAAGCACAGGCACGAGAATTGGACATGGGAAGGACCACATTGATAAATTAAAACTGTGTTCTTCTTAAATGTGTCAAAATGTGGTATGGAGTAGCGAAAAAGTTTTATAAATGTCCACTTGTCACCGCTCTGCGGGTGTTTTGTTTGCGCGCCAAAATAGTGGTGGTGTCCAACACGCATTAAGGGGGTAGTTAGCAGTGGAAGAACCATCTAATTTGGGTCTTTACATATATGAATTTGAGGTACAAAAAGTAAAAGACGCGACTTTATCCAGAGAATGGAAAATTTGGGTTTACAATTGACTGGTCATAAACATCATAAAAATTTACGTAAATTTAAATAAGCTGTGTTGGTTGTTTAGAAAATAACAAGATAGCAAACAGAAAACAACAGTCTCCAATGCAACCCATTACCTCTGACTGAAATCGGGTAAGCTACGCTGTCATTTAAAAAGAAAATCCGAGCTTGAGTCAGTAGGTTATACTAGGTATATTGACAGTAAGTAATTATCATATAATTAATCTCATTGACGTGTGTTAGTACCATGGCATTAGAATTAGAGTCGTACCAGCCTGCACATCCGATTTTGTCACCTTTAATAATTTTTCAGACCATTTATGCTATATTCGTACAATATATGATTGGGCCAATGGTCATTAATGAACATGTCAGTCATGTAATCTCAAAGAAACATGGGCGACTTGATGCTTAATTCGTGTTTCAGTTACATGCGATTAAAGCGTTTGCGTCGTCAGTAAAAATGTCACCTTGTTTTTTAAGGTGATAGGGAATATATGAGACTAGAATACTGCAGCTACATCAGCAAGAGGATTTCACCAACAATTTTGACAATTACCTGCCTTTGGCTAACGAACATTTGTAAACATACATGTAATTTATAAAGTTCTACTGTCAGGTAATGTCAGAAACTGTCAGCATCTGTCTTTTCCACTGGATCATGGATAAAGAAAAGCCAAATCTTCTGTCTTTTTAATGCTATATCCTAGACGAGATCGTTCTCTACAAATGCTACAATTTAATACCTTAATTGATTCATTCTTTAGTTTTTCTTTCAAAAGTAGATACGGTCGAGTTGTATTTTCTGTATAAATCTGAATTTCATTAGATTTTGACCTCGGTATAGCACCAACTTTTGCTTTCCGACCATGAGGGCGCAGTATGTCCAGACTATTTGAAATGCTTACAGCTATAGTGGCTTGTATATGCCACCAGTTTAGAGATAGGTCAGGTTGGAAACTTTAATTGACAAATAAAAGTCCGTGACATCGTCTATTGTAGTCCAACTAATTAGACTTGTCAAAGAGACACCGAGATAATTTTGGATGGGCGCTGTCTTTTTCCAAGTCCAACCACGAACTGCATTTTTATGCACGGACGCTTCCCAATTAGAAGTTGTTGGGAGCGAAAACTAGAAAAGTTTCAAAGAAACGGTCTACATTACCTGAAAGAGAATCGTTTTTTATGCAAGGTTCCAAATTATCATACTTCAAAGTCGAACAGAAGTCTTAATATTCCACTTTAATTTTTTAATCATTGAAAATTATTGAAAGCGGCCATATTGGAAAGCGGTGTCATGGTAAAATCCATGGTGTAACACAGGTATCGGCGGCAATCGATTGTATTTGCCAAGCTTTATTATACAATTTGTTTATGTTATTTATATGAATTATTGCAGGAATAACTCTTTTATTCACACACAAATATTTCAGCATTAAAAAGAGAATGTGTAAAGGAAATTCTGATAACCTTACTTAGAAATTAAATAGTTTATGATGTCCGATGTCAGATCATACTGCATTTAAGTCCGTTTAAATTGTCAAATTAGATATTATTAAGTTGGATTTTTTAACATCTGTGATCGTAAGGTGAAATTCTGAACTACCTTTTTATTTTATAACCCTGCCATGATTTCCCACATACGAAAATACAATGTAATTGTAGGTACATCTTAATGAATTATAATTATACTATACATGATGAAGCAAAGAAGAATTTCAATTTATATTACACTCCATATCAATTTCTAGTTTATTATCTTTAAAAGAAATTGAGGACGGTTGTGTACGGGAAGAAGTTCAAAACAACCAAAAATAACTTTAAAACTCTGAAAAAAAATCTTAAAATTTCAAACTATAAAATGGAATTTCAGACAGTCCTCAGTAAAATACAATTGTCGCACAGATTTGACGGGGTTTATGATAAAAACGCAGCAAGCGGAAATTTAGTGACCGTTATTTAGATGTTGAATAGCATAACAATGTAAGACAGATGGGAGAAATGTTGGAATGACTGTCGCAAAAGGCACCAAAACCTCTGATACCCATTAAAAATTCCATATGTTATCTAGTTCCCGTTGAACGGCACCTCGAATGTGTCACATTGAAAGTTCCATGATAACCGCCGTATTATGTACACATCTGTGGATGTTGATTAAAAATTTCAACATTATTATGTTTAAGTGATCAATTCTGTTTAAACCGGCGAAAGGGAGCACTTGCACCTACCAGAGCCGTCTCTCGCACTCCTGTGTATTTATGTTTCGATTTTGCAGTTTCAGGCGTTTTTGGTGGGTTTTTTTGGAGGGTGGATACATGAATGTGGATAAGTTTTTTTCTGTTTCTTTACATTTCTTTGCTTGCTTGCCGAACCTTGTATTGATAATCATTATCTGTTTGTTACGGTTCGGTATACGTCATGTATACAATATGATAAACAAGATGAACAAGGAAAGGCGGCGTTCAATGAACGCAACCCCCACACGACCCAGGAACATGAACCATTGGCAAGGAGCCCAGGAGGATCCTAAATTAAAACGGGACAGGGCGCAAGGGAGAGCACGGTCAGGCTTATCACTAAAATGTAACTGAGAAGGAAATCAAAGAAAATAAATAAATGAATGATTAATAGGACCACTAAGTTAACGAGCACAGGGGAAGGGGATAGGAAATTCGGGGAGGGGGCGAAATAAAGAAATAAAACTAGGGGCAAAGGGAAGATACTTACCAAAGACGAAAAAACAACAAGGGACACAAACAAAAGTGTCACCAAAACAGTATGAAACAGGACCACTAAGTTAACGGGCACAGGGGAAGGGGATAGGAAATTCGGGGGAGGGGGCGAAATAAAGAAATAAAACTAGGGGCAAAGGGAAGATACTTACCATAGACGAGAAAACAACAAGGGACACAAACAAAAGTGTCACCAAAACAGTATGAAACAACAAGACATACACCTTATACATTTATAAGTCTCTTAATCTGTTCATTTGAAAATTCTGATCTTCTCAATGACTTTTTTTAAATATCCTCTACTTAAAATTTATTTCAATTAAAATATGTGACCCTTCCTTTATAGTTACACAGCATATGGCTGGATCACAATAAAGTTCCTTTTTAGTAAATTAATAAAGTATGTCAAGAAGACATTTAACTTTATCAATAGGTTTAATATGGTATTATATATCGGCAATCGGTGAAAAAGAGCTCTTGAAATATTATTTGTACAAATACTGAATAATTTGAAGTGTATTTCAAATAGTTTCCTTCAATATTTCTTTTACGTTCTTAATTGTCATATAAATATGCATGTATAAATGAAGTCAGTATTTTATCCGAGAGTGACATTTGGCAGTCATTAGCAGTAAACAAGAAGGCAAACCACCAATTGATAAATGTTGAGTACATGTATTAAAATATTTAAAAAATATTAAACAACAGTACTTGTACGGAGCCTATTTGCGACCATTGCATTTTAGGTTAAATACAATGATACTTTTCAATAGTATTTAATAATGCACACATTTATTAAAAAATAATGAAGAGATTTATTTCCCCCGATATTTTGTTTAATTTAATCTTCATGCGTAACCCACACTTACCTGCTAGACACACTGGTAGCTACTACCAGGTTTCACGGAATCGATTTTTTACGATGACGTCATAACATGTCCGCCGAAGATAGAGTAGACAGTACAAATTTGAAATAAATCGCATGTATGCGTTAAGACAGGTACAATCTAATATTTTTTCTAGGAGAAGTTAGTACTAAAATTTATATTCTATTGATCTTTAGAGGTAATTGAAGTTACTTTCAGGTTTAAGCAGTAAAAATCAGTCCAAATTATCGATAGTATTACCGGTAGATTTTCCGTGCGTAAAAATGACAGTTAAAATTAGGCGTAACGGTTTGACAGTAAGAAAAAAAAAGTCTGTTAAATGGGTCAAACCGTTCACGCCAAATTAATTAGGCTACGTCTATTGCTATTAACGGATTATTTTGTGCAATTCATTTACCAAGGTACACAACCTATACTTTGTTCTTAATAAGCAAGAGTTGTTTCCCTTGTCAAGGTTTTGTTATTTAATTTATTGATATTTTTAAGTTAAATCCGGGACATTTTTTGTCCCAGGTTAAATTGCATAAATTCATCCTACAGTAGATTAAGTAAGAAAATCAGTACACCCGCTCAATCAAAATAGAAAAGTGAGAAATTATTTCATTTAACGTGACTAAAGTAGATCTAAATGTGTAAATCTACAGTTCATTAATTAATATAGAGGGATCTATTCTCACAAATAAAGTGAATGATAAAATGTTTACCGAATGTCTTTAATGGTTTGATGAGTTGAAAATAACTTAAGAAAGGGTCTTTTAAATGGAGCTTCACTGAAGCGGGACGTACTTGATCACCCTAATCGTTAGAATGAGAACAGCTATAACAATGGGATGTCCCATTCGGCTGACAGCGCTGTCAACGTAGCGGTACATACACACACGAACTAAAATTTTGTGGGCATGTTTACAACTTTACGCTACCTGTTATTAAAATTTGACTGTTAAGTGTATGTGACGTGTATGATGAACTTTCAGTTGGTACAATAATAATTCTCTAAACATGGATATAAAGTTTAATTTGCGCTAATTTATTTTTTTTTTGAGGAAAATTTAGTTGCAGTGAATGGATTTTGACAAAACGCGGGAAATATTATCAGGATAATGAATATTTGTTACAAATGTAAAAAGCCTGTCTATTTTGGTAAGTTATTTCGTAATTTAACGACAAAAGTATATTTTCAATTAACAGGGTTCTCACTTGGACTTTAAAACATGGAGTCCATGGACTCCCAACCCTGAAAAAGTTGGAGTCCAAAAGCACGTCGCAATTAATGTTTACAGATTAGTCATTCAATGTTCACAATAGCATTGCTGATATTTTGAATCTTCAAGGGACTCCAAAGTTTATAGTTATTCAAAAGAAACTCTGAAATACATAGTGTAATTATTGTTTTGTTGTTAATATTGAATTAAAATATTGTTGAAATATTAATTATGAAATTATTTCATTATAATGCATCAACACATGGAAATTGTTTTTTTTCCACTTTTATACCAAATCAAATTTTATTCTGGTTAAATAAGTCCACTCTAAAGACAAAAAGTTTATATTTGTGAAAAAAAAAACGTAAATGTATATAGGCAGCGTTTAGCGGAATGAATAGGAAAATCGTGTACAGCTTCACACAGTGTGCAAGAGATTCATCCGATCAACAATTATTTTAGCAAATATCTTCAAAAGGGGGCAAATTGAAGATCGATATTTAAAGATTTAATGTTGATTAAATAATAAAGGAACAATTCATTCGCATGTTTGGCTTGGAAACCGATAATTTTTGCGAAAATTTAGGGTTTCTGGCGTACGTGAAATCGCCGATGTTCGGGATCAATTTTCGGATAGAATCTAAATATCAAAGAAAAGCGTATGTGTATTTTGGTTTGTTGTCCTGGCATTTCGGCACAATATATTAAATTCTTAATACTCTCATATGAATGAAACTAAAGCAAAATTGTGCCTAGAAAATGCCGAAAATATTCGACAATCATTCAAAATTACACTCATTTGTAATTTGAGAAAACAATCTTTAAACTTGCGGCGTAAATAGTCGATAATTTTATCATTTTGTCGGTAAAATTTGCTAATTTCCAATCAACTGTTGATCAAAGATATAAAATTATCACCTCGTGTTATATTAAATGTACTGTAGAGCGCGTGCATACATTGGTCTGATCAATATTACGTGATAATGATCGGAAGCGTTATCGCTGATTGGCTAATCGCTTCACGGGTCGATGTGCATAGGACCGCCTACCTATACGACTGACACGCGCTGACGCATTTTGTGTATTTGTGGTTGTAAACAATCGGTAATGTTTATGCGTCCCCAGGCAAAATTAAGCGTACGTGGAATCCTTGCTCTGAAATATTTGCGTCCATCTTAAATAAACATGCGTACCGGGACGCCGAAATAAGCGTCCCCGAGAACCGTTATGATTTTGTGTATTGATTTCAGAGACAAGTTGGACCACGTTTAAGTGAAAATCGATACATTGAAGTAGAACTTGAATTTAAGATAAGGCCCAGTTATATATTGATGTTGAATATACTTAATTGAATCCTATATTGTTTCCCAAATTGGTTTAGAAATTGAACATGAAAGTATTTTCATATAACTTTTACCTTGAGTTTTTTGTGTTTTTTTTACTACACTCCTCAACCATAGAGTGTGTTTTAATGATTCCATTTATTTAATTAATTAATAATTAATATGTTAACCCTGATCAATTACTGAACTGCAGATTTTCACAAGATTGTATGACTTAATTATCAATATAGAAGGAACAGTGTAAACAATTCTCTCATATTTTTTTGTTCCTATTATCATATACCAAGACTTATCAAGATTTTATTTCATTATATTTTTTTTCCAATTAACCTGCAAAACAAACATTAGTAAGGCTTTGCTAACAGTTTAAAGCCAGGCCAGCCTGAACATCTGTGCAGTTTGACCAGGCTCCCAGCTGAATTTTTTACTTTGGTGTTGATTTTTACTTAGGTGTTGATACCCCTTAAACTGCACATTTTTGGACAATTTCATATTCAAAGCAGCTGGCAAATCAATATTAAAAATCCAACAGGTTAAGTGTTTAACCCTCACAAATTATTTCATTGTGGTATTTATTTTGCCTGAAGGGAGGCCAATATTTTAAGTATTTGACACTATCATATACACAATCATGAAAATTGTTCAAATGATAAAATCTTTCATGTATTCAGTAGTACATTATTTGTTTAAAAATCTCAAATATTTTTTAATTAAGCATTTCTTTTCAACGCGCTTAAGCAGTTTTTGAGTCATTCTTTCATTTTCAAAATGAACTTTTAAACTTTATTATAATATAAGGGACATGCAATAAAGCATGTTATTTTTCTCTTCCCGAATAATTTTTTTGCGGATCTGGCATATCAGATTTTCGGGTGCATTGCGCGTCTTTACAATAGACATCAACGTTTCAGGATCTATCAGGTGTCACAAACTACAATAATTCTGAACATATAATAGGGATGGTTGTCACAAATTGTACATGTATATAATGTTTATGATACAGGGTAATAAATCTTCATTTTTTACCTCAGGTAAAAGGTGTATCTAATTTAGGATGTAACATGAAACTTGAAAACTATTTTTATACACACACACTCACAAACAGGTTGGATTGCCTTTCTGACATGCAAAGCTTTTAAGATGGGCCTATAAAATATATGAGAAATAAAAGCATGTAAGAAAATATGAGAATGGTATGAAGCTTGAAATATTTAGTATTAATAATATCAATATCGATATTAAAATTATAAAGAATATATTATTAATATAAATATGAATATTATTAGACTTATAAAATAGTATCCGAGAAACATCATATTGACAGAACTCCTGCTTAATAAATCACTTAAGTATGAGTTCTTACTTTTCAGTTGGCTTTTTTAAATACAATGTAATATAAAATATAATACATAAAATGTTTAGGACCGAAATATTATATTAGCAGATGGCACAAAAGAAATGATAAAAATAAAGTTTTTTCCTATTTCACATTGTGATAAAATTTATCTAATATCAGCAGGAATATCACTATCTGACACAACAATAGATTACATCTTGTGTATTGAATACTGTATAGAAAGGATTACAGTATATATCAATACAGGTATTTAATAGTATACAGTGAACTTGTGGCAATGAAAGAAATAATCTTTTATTTATTTAGGTATATCAATTGTTAGGTCGACAGCATGTAGTACTGCTTACTGTGAAATGATCTACATTTTTCTGGTGTCTAAGAGTCCGGATTAACCAATGTATAAATGCTATGAGGTCAGAAGCCTCGAGGTCTAATATTGTTGTGAATGAATAAAATAACCGACTTAATACTGTTTTGATGTCGGAAGCCTTCAGGTCTAATATTGTTATTTGTTGTGAATGAATAAAATACAGTTTATTATAAATTTGCATGGTTTTACATCCAACTTGACAAAATTATTACATTATGCATGCATTCATTTGTAAACGTTTTGAGTATTTAAACAATGGTAAACAATAAGTAGACCTGTATGCCACAAATAGTGTTAAACATGTCTACACCCATTAATCAATTATTAGCACATTTCCAAATTCAAAACAGCATTTTAAGCTCGACTATACGAAGTAAATGGAGAGCTGTCCTACTCGCCCCTGCGTCGGCGTCCGCGTCCAGATTTCAGATTAAAGTTTTGGTGCAGTAAAATATTTTTCACTATAACTTTGTCATTTCTTAAGGTATCAACTTCAAACTTCAAATATATGTTCCTTATCATCAACCACATCTTATGTGACAATGTTCATAACTCTAGCACCAATAGTTTCAGATTTATCTCCCCTTGAACTTAGAATTTTCCTTAAAAAATACTATTTTTTACTGTAACTTCTTTATTTCTTAAGGGATCACCCTCATACTTCAAATAAATGTACCTTATCATCATCCCCATCTTATGTGACAAGGTTCATAACTCTAGCACCAATATTTTAAAGATTTATCTCCCCTTGAACTTAGAATTTTCCTTAAAAATAATATTTTTTACTGTTACTTCTTTATTTTTTAAGGGATCACCCTCATACTTCAAATATATGTACCTTATCATCATCCCCATCTTATGTGACAAGGTTCATAACTCTAGCACAAATAATTTCAGATTTATCTCCCCTTGAACTTAGAATTTTCCTTAAAAAAATATTATTTTTTACTGTAACTTATTTATTTCTAAAGGGATCAACTTCATACTTCAAATATATGTACCTTATCATCATCCATATCTTATGTGACAAGATTCAAAACTCTAGCACCAATATTGCAAGAATTATCTCCCCATAAACTTAGATTTTTTTACTAGAAAAATGTTAATTTTTACTATAACTTTTTTAGTTTTAAAGGTATCTACTTCAAACTTCAAATACTTATTCCTTATCATCAATTACATTTTATGTGACAATGTTCATAACTCTTGAAGCAATTTTCACAGATTTATCTCTCTTTGAACTTAGGATTTTCTTTAAGAAATATTATAACTTCTTTACTTTTTAAGGTATCTACTTCAAACTTCAAATATATATTTCTTATCATAACACACATGTTGTGTGACAAGGTTCATAACTCTAGCGTGACTATTTCTAGAATTATTTCCCTTGATCTTGGAATTTATGTTAACAAATGTTATTTTTTTACTATAACTTAATACATATTAATACATAATTGATTTTTCTTTCATAGTTTTGTCCTCCTTACTGCGTCCAGTATTTTATTAGTCGAGCTTGGCTGTCTCCTGTGACAGCTCTTGTTCAAATTTGGCTTGGCACCTTAAATTGTTTGGCCATTGATAGCAGCATGCAGGAATTAGAACTATTTTTTTACTAGATTCAAAAAAATGTAATAGTTTATTGAGAGCTTTATAAAATTAAATTTTTATTACTTGGAGTGTAAATAGTTATAATGAGTTGACCAATGCCACCTAATATTAATTAATACATCAGACCAGCTACTCTACATGTATACTGTTAAATTGGCTGTTCATTGATTAGTTTGATGCAGATTAATATAACAGACTGTTTCACTGAGTGTTTGGAGTTAAATATTAGGTTGCAGATCAAGTCCGTTTTACAAAAATAGCCAAACAGATTTCTTTTCACCTGTACATAATTATGTAGTTTCATTATTATAGCAAATTCTATAAACAGTTATCTAATGCTGGTATGTAATTTGACACTTAAATAAATTTATAATTTTATAATTAATTGAAATGACCTTTAATCTATTTTGAATTCTTTGTTATAAATTAAGCCTAATTTGTTAACCTATATAATGAGCCTCGCCATGACAAAACCAGCATCGTGGGTTTGCGACCAGCATGGATCCAGACAAGCCTGCGCCTCTGCGCAGTCTGATCAGGATCCATGCTGTTCGTTTACTAACTCTATTGCAAGTAGAGAAACTCAGATAGCGAACAGCATGGATCCTGATCAGACTGCGCGGATGCGCAGGCTAGTCTGGATCCATGCTGGTCTCAAACGCACTATGTTGGTTTTGTCGTGACGCGGCTCATATATTTAATATCATGGTTGTTTGAATTAAATCAGATTTCACTTTTCTTTTCACCATTGTGATAATGTTTGAAATAATTGTATGTTCTATAGCATATCATATCTTACTGAGTAAATAAAGTATGTTTGTCAACATTGTAAGATTGACCAAAGTAAATAATTTTGTGACCTGATAGGTCTTAGATAAACATGATAAATTATTTGATATACTCTCTGACATATTATAATGATTGCAGCCATGCAGGGTGTTTTTTTTTTGTTGTTTTTTTTTTCTCAGAAAAATTTAAGTGGCATACTGCAAAAGTGCTCAGGTTCCTACCAAAGAGGAACAAATAAAACATTATAATTGATGATTACCTTCATTTGACCTTTAGATACCAAAAAATATAAAGTTTTTGGAGAAATAAAAATTATAGCATCACTTAGGCATAATAGGCCTTTAAATAATAATGGACAGATCAAAATACAAAATCAAAAAAAAATAAATAAATAAATGAATAAAAAAAATAAAATAAAACACAATCACTTTAATATAATACAATAATTTTGTATCAATGGATAAATCAAAATACAAAACATTGGTCAAGTATGTTATACAAATTTTTAGCCTTAACTAGATTAAATAGGTTTCTGATAAATATTTTAAAGTCTTTGATACATGCCCTCATTAATGTTTATGAGATGGTAAAGCTATAAATAAACAAGTGTATCAATAACACAGTAATAAATCTTGTCATACTTGACATTTGAGAATATTAAAGTTCAATTTATCAAAGGTTAAAATTAGAATATAATTGTGAAATTAAAGTAATGTAAGGTATTAACACAACCTCTGCATATGATTAATAGTGCCGGTTATGTGAAGCACAATACAATATCTGGAGCAGGGTCAAATAATATTCTATGTATTTCTTTAACTCCTTGAATGATAACGGCAATGATTGGAATACCACCATTAAATGTAGAGGAGTAATCCAAAATGTCAGACTTATAATGATGAATGTTATCAAGGGAAAGCACTGCTCTTAGAAGCCCATGAAGGAAAGCCAAGTGAGCACTAAGGCAAGCAAACAGGCGGAGGAGGGGCTAATTAGACAATAATATTAACTGCAAAGAACTATTTCGCACATCTGTACAGTCAGACCTGACTGTCAATTGTATTTAATTTTGTTACATAATTATACCTGGTATTTTGATATTATAGTCCCTTAACAAACACGTAGCATTGAATAGTTAAATCAAATTCAAAATAGAAATAAGAATTTATATACCACTGATTTTTCCAAAAAAGAGGATTTTTCCAAAAAAGAGGATGAAGCTATTGCATGAAATTTTTATGACAGATTGAACCTACAGTCTCTGAAAAGGGGAGGGGTGAGCTAGTGGTTAAGGTGTCTGCCTCTCAACCCAGGAATGATAATGAGTTCAAGCCCTTAATCAGGTCACTATTATCTTGATTCCTCAATGACTCTGTTACTGGTAAGTTCCAGGAAGCGGACTTGAAAGTGTTTAATATAAGTTGCAAGAACTTGTTTTGCAATTGTGATAAAATAAATATGTTTAAAATAAAATAATCTCTGAAAAGTATTGGTTACTATTTATAGATACACCTCCAACGAGGTAAACAGGAATCTATTTTAGCTTTTCTGTCAGTTAGGCTGTCATTCCTACCTTTGATTGTTGCAGTAGTTTTTGTAGGAAGAGTCAAATTGAGTGTTAGCATGGGGTGGGGAGAGACAGATTTGATCATTAAATGTATGTAGTACCTGACACTTGCTTGCATGTTCTGCTGACCATTTTAGGAATTCTAAGAGCTGGGCTATTATTTAAGTGTTCACAACAGCTTTCTCTTTTGAACGGGCTACTTTGTAGTCATTCAACATCATTAATTGAATCTCAAATCAAAGCTCTGTATACATCATATATTTATGTATCTAAGCCCAAGCTAATATTCCATTTTCTTTTCAGTTTATTAAAGTCATAGCTATTAAGTCAACATTCATAAGTAGTTGTATTAAAGCATGTCTTGCATTTTAAGAATAGTGATGGTACCAGGCTAAAATGGCATATTTTTATTGACTTGGTTTGTCTGGATTTATTGGTATTTTTTTCACAATGCAAATTTGCAATGGGTGACACTGGGTTGCTATATGTAAGTTGTAAGGAAGTTTGCAATTTCCACTAATATTACGTTTACCCTTCACAGACATCTTGCAAATAATATTATTATCCCCCGCCGAAAATTTTCGGCGGAGGATATAGAAATAGTCTCCGTCCGTCCGTCCTTCCGTCCGACATTTTTGTCCGGAGCATATCTCTAAAAGTATTTGAGTTATCAACTTGAAACTTCATAGGTGGATAGACCTCATTGAGGAGGAGTGCAGTGCACAAGAATGATAACTCTACCTTGCATGATTTTTGAGTTATTGCCCTTTGTTATTTTTCAAAATTGATTTTTGTCCAGAGCATAACTCCAAAAGCCTATGAGATATTAACATGAAACTTCATAGGTGCATAGATCTCACTCAGGAGGTGTGCAATGCACAAGAATGATAACTCTACCTTTCATAATTTTTGAGTTATTGCCCTTTGTTATTTTTCATACCTAATTTTTCACCTGAGTGGAGCATAACTCAAAAAAGTGTTTGAGATATCAACATGAAATGTCATAGGTGGATAGATCTTATTGAGGAGGAATGTTGTGCCTAAGAATGATAACTCTTCCCTATACAATTTTTGAGTTATTGCCCTTTTTTTCTTGCTATTTTGTCCAGAGCTTATCTCAAAAAGTATTTGAGGTATCAACTTTAAACTTCAAAGGTGGATGGATCTCATTGAGGAGAAGTGCCGTACTTAAGAATGATAACTCTACCCTGCATTATTTTTGAGTTATTGCCCTTTGTGATTTTTCAAAATTAATTTTGTCCAGAGCCTAACTCAAAAAGCCTTTGAGATATCAAAATGAAACTTCATAGGTGCATAGATCTCTGACTCAGGAGGTGTGCACTGCACAAGAATGATAACTCTACCTTTTATGATTTTTGAGTTATTGCCCTTTGTTCTTTTTCATACTTTAATTTTTTCTCAAAAAGTATTTGAGGTATCAACTTGAAACTTCATAGGTGGATAGATTTTACTGAGGAGGGATGCAGCACACAATAATGATAACCTACCCTGCATTATTTTTCAGTAATTGCCCTTTGTTATTTTCAGCCATCAGTATTCACATAGGTTTCAAATCTGTAATCACTATAGCCATCAGTTTTCATTACCAAAAGACCTCTTAAAATAGAATTATTCCGCTCTACTACATATACATTCTTCCAATGAGCAAACACATTCGGCAGGGAATGGCCATGTTGACATGGCTCTTGTTATTTCTTTATAATGTTTTTGAGCAGATAAATTGCTTAACAACTTGATTTTGAAATTTATACAAGCATGTTAAATTCTTGCATTTTATCTTTCATTTTTTACAGGAACGTTTTTGATTTTTACAGATCATTTTCAGTTTGAACATGGCATTCTTGGTTATTACAGGTCGCAGGTCGTTCGTAATATTATGTTAACTGATTTGACCAATATGTTACGCATATACACTGCAAGACATATACACTGTGTGTACACATAAATTATTTATGATTATGATATTTCTGATAGATTTTTTTTTAATTTCAGCGGAGCGGAAGACTTCGTTAGGAAGAGACTGGCACCCTAACTGTTTAAGATGTGAACAGTGTAATAAAATTCTTGCTCCAGGACAGCATGCAGAGGTAAGAATTAGGCCATACACCATTTAATTATGTTAATTGTATATTAGACTTGCCATCACTGACCAATGTTAAAGGTAAAAATTTCAATGTCTGATGAATCTAACCCTAATCATTATGTATGGATGTGCAGGCTGATCTTAGTGTCTCTGTTATAATGGAGGCATCCTTGTGGCTGAGGGGTTGCCTTAAAGGGTTGAGGCATTAGAATGGAAGCCACCATTTATCCTACATAGTGGTAAGAGGCAACAAAATGGGTTTGAATAACTGTGTCTATGCATCTGTTATGCCCCATATTTTACAATAATAAATTCTTTAGAAATTACTTTAAAGAATTTGATGTAAAATATGGGGCATAACACATCTCTTAACTCGAGCAGGTGGCATGGTTTTGACCCCTGGTGTTCCTTTAAGTTATTAACCCTAGGTTAGTCGAAATCATCTTTCTTGATTTGGTACCTTGTTGCTGCAGAGTAAAACCAAATAAGAAAACAAAGTTCCTGTCATATACCTTTGTTGCCTTCAGATGGCAGAAGAGCATAATGTGCAATGGAAAGTTTAAGGTCCAAAACCCTCACTGAGCCATCCTGATGGGTTATGACTTATATATCTTTAGTTTATCAATATTTTGACAGTTTATTTTATGGCCCAACCATTGAAATTAAACAATGGTTTTAGAGTTATATAACCCAAGCTACTATGCAACATCTAAGCAGTAGATGAACCGATGATTGCCAATTAATACAGTACACAATAATCTATTTTAAAAATTTTAGAGTTTAAACAGATGTTTTAAAAAATAGTGGACCATCTCAACAGTGTTTTATTTAAACAATTCTTGATTGTTCATATTTACTGCTGTTTTTTTCCTGAATGATTGATAAGCCTATACAGTAGAGGAACTGAATAATACCAGTATTAATGTTTTGATAGATTATCTCTCCTTAATCTTTAAACATAACAATAGTTGAATTGTCTGTATGTCATCAACTTAAATAACTTCTGTGTAGTGTAGGAATTAGTTTTCTTGATCACCAATGGTTTGGTTTTGATTGGTTTTAAGTAATGCTGACACTGTTCAGGTCATATGGCATTTTTTTAGCTTTTCTGTTGGAAAACAACATCAGTGGCCACTTTTTGCATTATTTTAGGCGCCATAAAGTTGGTACCTCTGTAGAACCATCAACCTTCTGTAGGCTTCTGTAGCTGAATAGCTTCCTCACATGAATGAATCCAGTTTCTTATAAGAGTCAAACCCATAGCAGTGAGGGATGATCACTTAGTGTTGTTATTATATCAAATAAAAATAAGAAGTACTGTTATTTTCCCCCCTTTCAAACTTAAATCTTAAATTTATGATTTCTTAAATTCCTGGCTTGCTAAAATACAAAAATCATAAAATTTTATGGCAACAACACAAAATGATTATACAGTAAGTAGATCAAGGTTTATTAAACATGGTAATTTATTCTTATCGAGACCTGTTTAAAGTAGAAACTAGATACTTGATGTATATTTCAAACCCTTTGACGTAATATGACAATTTTTTTATAAGGCGTGTATTGTATGCATCTAGAGCATAATACGCACTTGATATACATCATGCAGATATCAATCCTTACTACACTAAATATCTTAAATGGACTTGCCCATCTTTCAATCTGGCCTTTTTGACATTTATGATTTTAGGTAAATTTTCAAACATATTTACTGACTGAATAGCAAACAGTGCAGACAATGATCAAACCACAGGGACTCAGCAGAGTGTAACGGGATAGTGCATGTAAAAAGTAATTCTGAGAAAAAAAATATACTGTGTATATATATATATATATATAATATATAGTCTATATATATATATATATATACAGTATATATTTTTTTTCTAGAATTACTTTTTACACTATCCCAACACTGTGCCGAGTCCCTTCGGATCAAACAGCACATTTGTATTTGTGCCATCTGATCTTGGTCTGCACTGCTAGCATGGGTACAATCTGTTGCTGACAGCAGGTTTAAGGTTTATAGCATTGTATTAAATAAAGTTCAAAAGAGATGGAAACAAACATTGTAGGATTTATATTAAACCAATATTTGACATGTTTTATCATGAACGACATGTGTTTTATTTCATAAAGCCAGACTGAAAACCAGACTTGTTTTTATTAAACATTTTTGTTTATTGTGTGATTTATATAGGAAGACTTCTGTGCAGGTGGTTGGGGGATTAGGCTCTTTATTTTGGTAGAAGTACATTGTGGTTATAACAATTTAACCAATAAATATATTATGAAAGACACATCATAAAGAAGATGCATTGAATAGGCAATTTGGAATCTTAACTCACACAAAATTTATCATAATGAAGGAAAGGAACTGATCGCCTTTTCTCCCTTGCTGCATTACTATTGTGTTCTTTCAGTTGCTCATTTCCAACAATGCAGTCTTTGTATTGTTCTAAAACCAGCACAAATTGTGTGGCAGCTCAAGCTTCATCTAAGTGTTGTCTAGGCTCTTCGGAATAGATGATACCTATATCAAGATAATTTTTTAAAAATAATTGAAAATAATAAAAATTGAAGGCATAATAACATATAACAGTAACATGACTATCTGAGTGAGATCAAGTTATTTGAAACATACCATGATTTTTTACAGAAGATTCAATGTCAACTTCAATAAAGTTAATATATTGTCACAATTCATAAGTATAGAATATTGAAAAGCCCTGTGAAAATTGAATACTGTGAGGTTTTGAAAAAGTAGGGCAACCATCAGATTTATACAGCTGTATAAAAATCAAAGTAATTTGTTGTTTGAAAAGGTTTATGGCAGACTTAATTCATGAATTATTCTAATCAGGTCTGTCACAAATTAATTAGGTCAAAGAACAAAGGTAATAGCTTTTTAATCTTGTGCTTTTAAATGGATAATTTATTTTGTAATCAAACAAAATTTTGTCTATTTTTGTATGACATATTATATATGTTACATAAATGTTGTTTGTCAATCATTCTTTATTGAAAGATGGGTCAGAGCAAATATTGATGACTGCAGATCATGTACCCTCCGCCACTGAGAGTTTGAATCCTCAGACAGGGACTTTATATTCTTTCTTGTTTGTTTTGTTTGGTTTTATGGCACACCAGCACAATTTAGGTCATGGGCACTGAAACAGATAAGGTGAGTTTAGCTATCCTAAGGTGTTACAAACTTAAAGCAAGACCAGGGTCAAAACCACCACACCTGCTGGCGCTAAGAGGTGCATAAGACTCCAGTAATTCGAACCCATTAAGTTGCCTCTTACTATCATGCAGGGATAGACTATGCGTCTCAACCATTAAAAGTAAGCCATCAGCCACAAAGTGGATATTCTTTCTTGTCAAGCAAACTGGAAACAAAGTTAGACAGGTTCTACTCTGGTCTGCATATTTGTTCCTGAAAATAATGCATAAAGTGGCACATAAGGTCTTCCTCGATCTACCATTGAAATTGGAAAAATGATGTATGACCATAATATTAATTTACATTGCCTTTATATATCGCTTGTAACCAAATCAAACCAGACAAAAAATACTGGAGGCAGCTTGCTTCAATCTTCTTACAAATCTACACAGAAATGCACAAATGCATGGAAGTTCATGGTGGCCTGGCATAATACTGCAATTAGCCGTGATGGCATTAACAAGTCAATAAAAACATCAAACTCAAAACAATTAACATGATACAGTTTCTAACCTATTTGATTTCTGTTAATAATTTTTATAGCATTTTACAAGAGTTCAGGGGTGTGATTATATATACCAGGTATTTGGGTCAGGTCATCTCTGCCTTTTCTGCATTAATATTCATCATTTTAATATTCATCATTTTAATATTCAGGAGTATTATTAAGCAATGTTTAATGCATAGGTGGTTTTCATATAGCTTAAACTGTAGATTTAAAAATGGATTTAAATATTTCATTTATCTTGTCATTGGGCCAGCTGGGAGCACAGTAAAGGATTGATGACATGTAATCATCCAGATCATGTTTTATTTTTATGAAAATTCCACACCTGTAATGGCCTGTGATACTATCATTTGATATGAATTGTTACTTTAGTATAAGAATGGTTTAATTATAATATGAAATGTAGAAGTCTAACCATGATATGATCAACACAATATGATAAAACAGAGGTTAAAATGTTGATAAAAAACATTACAATGCCTATATTATTATATTATTTCAGTTGAAATTTGTCCCCATTGCACTTTGTGAACCTGTGTGCTTTATTGTCTGAATTTGGAGTTTCATAAAAAGTTGTTTGTTTTGAAATTTGAAATGGTTTTTACAGTATAATGTGCTACATGATAGCCAAAGTAACGCACAAGTGCACAGATATTTTTAGATCTATTATTTCCTTAAAAAAGGTAATTTATTATCAATTCTTCCTCCCTGTTGTGGTATATTTAAGTAATAGTATATCCCAAACTGTAATTTTATCGCTCAATAAAATCACCGTTTGGAATTCGGATTCGAGGAATTATATCACAAGGGCGTAGCCCAAGTGATATAATGATGCGCATCTGAACGACAAACAGTGATTTTATTGAACGATAAAATCACCGATTTGGAATATATTATTTCGATTCTAGCACGGCATCAACAAATAAATGCTGCTGTACCTGATATTAAGCTAAATTGCGCATGATTTGTTTCTGTTCGTTACATTTCAGCGCGTCACATTTTTAGTGGTTACGTCACATGTATAATGATTACGTCACATGTCTAAATGTATAAAGTCAAAAGTGATTTTATTGCATGATAACACACGCTTTCTGTTCTTCGATGTTCAATAGGGAAAAATGCAGGTAGTGTTAGAATACAGTATATACATGTAGGGGTGCAATGATATGGTCAAACTCATGTTCTGATATCATTGTGTTTGTGATACTGCAATTCTTAATTGTTTACAAATCCTTTAACAATCTATTGCCACATTATATGTCTGATTTAT